CAGCCAGTCAAGGGAGGTGCATATCCAATTCTGGGGTCCTCAAAATGATCTGGGTCTGCTGTGGAGACAGACTGAAAGAAGTAAAAAAGAGAAAAATAAAATAATATTTGGCAATGAAGTTGTCCACTATTTATCTCCCCATCAACGTTTCTTTACTGAATTAAAACAGTTGCTGCTCTTATTTTAGTTTTAGTTTAAAGTATTTTAAAATAATAAGACTTGAAAATTACCTACATTTCCCCCTTTCTGTAAAGGTGATTTTTTATTTCTCATTAAAAGGCAATGTGCTTCTAAAATTTCTTCTCTTACAAACTGAACAACAAGAAATAGATCTGTCTGCTGTTAAATCTCTGTTTCCCCTTTAATCTCAGTCATGTGTTACCCATGAGATACATGATTCTCATAAAGCACTATTATATTGAATTCTTTTTCACAAGTCATTTTTAGTCTACTCTCCTGGGATACTGTATCTACTTGACATATAATTTCAGTTAATTCCCTCAAACTGGGCAACTCCAGATTTTTTATTAGTAGGAAATGAAGACTCTTGCTTTACAAAGTATTTTTCCCAGATTTAATAATTGTTGGAGTCAAATTTATTACTTTATCCTTCAATAATATCAATAACAATAAATCTGTGCTGAAACAACTTTATTTGATTGGGACATCGAGATAAAATTATGATTCAGGGTCAAGTTTGCACTAGACCTTGCTTGCCTGCCAGAAAATTTACTCTGCAAGTTGCCCTGGTTGGCACAAGGCAGCAGAGAGAAAGCAGAGGAGAGCACATGAGCCAGCGGCTAGGCAGATAGGAACATTGGAGGCAGGCTGAGTGCACGGTCCTGCATCAAGCCCAGCTGCCTCTGCTGCCCACTCTGCCTTTGGCTTCTGCTGCCCTGCAGGGAGAAAGCACTACCCAGAGGCTCTGTGAGGGACACAACCATTTATTCCCTTTTCCTTCAATGAAGATTTGTGAGAGCCCTGCTAGAGTTGCCAGTGGGTTGGCCTCTTGCAGGGCTGGGGAGAGTCCGGGGGGCTGGGGACTCTTCCCTTAATGGGGTGCAAGGGTCCCCATTGGCAATCAGTCCCAGCCCAGGACAGGGGTGGAGGGGCTGAAGCTTCTGCCCTGGGCAGAGGGTCCTGCCACTGTCACCACCTCCTGCTGTGGCTCCTCCTGAGGCCGGTCCCACTCCACGGGCACAGGTGGGGGGTGGCTGGGACCCCCAGGGAAAGCAGCCTCCGATGTACCAGCTTCCTCCTCCACATCATAGACTCTAGGGCCATGGGCAGGAGCCCCCATCCAGAAGCTGCTTGTCTGGGAATTGCTGGAGCTGGAGCTGGAGCTGGAGCTGGAGCTGGAGCTGGCACTGGCCACAGGGCCGTTGTTCTCGTCCCTGATGGCACCAGAGCACAGCAGCCTCTGGGCCTCCTCGCTGCACTGGCCCACGATGATGCTGATGACGCCATGCACCAGTGGAGCTGTGTGCTGCCCAAGGACAGGCTGCAGCCCCTGAACCAGCGCCTCGGCGTTCAGCCCCTTGAGGCACAGGTCGTGCAGGATGGAGCTCTCTGCGGCCTCAACCAGCCACCACCAGCGCCGGAATATCCCCTCAAGCCTCCGGCGCAGCCAAGGCCGCACGGGCTCCAGCAGCTGCGGCTGTCCACGGAAAAGTCGGGCCCACACCTCGGGCAGGAGGCCACCCGGGAACTCCAGCCCTGAGGGGCCCTGCTCAGCTGGGGACAGTGTCCCCTGTGGAGCAGCTGCACAGGACACCACAGGGCCATAGGGGCTGTTCTCATCCAGGCAGCCAGGAGCGCTCCCTGCCCGGCCGGTGGCCACTGGCAGCTGCTCGGGGGCGGTGCTGGCTGTGTCCTGATGCTCGTCTGCGTGCTCAGAAAGCCTGATGGACTCTATTGGTGCCCTGCAGAGTGGGCACGAGGGATTCCTGTGTGCCCACCGCAGAATGCAGCCCAGGCAGAAGCGGTGGTGACAAGGCAGAGCAGAAGACACATCCTTCCGAGAGTCCTGGCAGATGGGGCAGTTGCCGTCTGGCTCTGAGGCCATGCCAGGAGTGATGGCCCTGGGCCTGGCACCAAGATCTGCCAGGAACAGGCTGTGCCCAGCATCAGAGAGGCCTGGCTTGATCCTCTCGGCCTTGGCCTCTCACTCAGTAGAGTTCAGGCTGCAGCCAGAGTGGCCCTCCCAATGTCTGAATGGAAGCGGTGAGTGGCACAATGGCACAATCCATCCCCTGGGATGTCACAGCCCACTGCCCCCTGACACCCCCAGTGACATCACAAAAGGCACTGGAAACTCCTTGGAACCCCAAGATAGCAGTAAGGGAACGTGAGGTCACAATCCAGCGCTGCCTGATGCCATCATCCACAGGTCAGTGACATCAGAGTCCTCTACCCTGTTGTGAGAGATGAGGTAATATTTTGCTGAAGGTTATTAGGATAAAAGCTTATTAGTTAAAAACCCAAAAGTTGTTGGTTTTGTGCGTTGTTATTTCTGGTTTGCATTTGCTCTAGTTAATTTGTTGGGTGTTGCTGTGAGCTGGAAAAGTGGCCAGGTTGAAAACCTGATCAAAAAGGAAGTAGGATGAGAGGGGAGGAGACAGAAAAGTAGATGGTCAGTAGAGGATAGAAACTCCCAAGTACCCAGCCAGTGAGGAAGGGGACAGGGCCTGCCCCTGGCCAGAAAAGGGTATAAAATACAGTCATTTTTTTTGGAGGGTGTGTGTGTTCGCCGCTTGGGGGAAAGAGGGCATACATGTGGCTCAGGTGAATTGTTACTATTAAACAGATTTCTTTTGCCACCACGACTTTGTCCTCATTTACTTGTATCTAAAAGTTAGTTCATTTTCAACACTGTGATGACACAGCAGGCCTTCCATCCCTGTAGGCACATATTATCAGGAGAAAAATGGAAATATTGTTTCCAGTTTCAATTTCCACATCTCCATGATGCTCTCCATCAGCCACCTGCATCACAAGTCCTTGGCCCTGTCTCTAATCTCTGCTCCTTGTAATAAATGGGCAGGAGATGATTCTCCTTAAAAATGCCTTTATTTGGTGAGATCAGCTCAGGTGGGGGCCCAACAGGCTGTGCACACGCCGCCGCTGCTTCCCGAAGGGACGCTGAGGAGGAGGAAATGCAGCCTTGTCCGCTTCATGTGCAAGCAGAGCTGGAGATCTGTCCTCACAGGAGCGGCAGGATTTTTCCACTCCTTCCCACAGTCTGTGTTATGGTCTAGGGTCCTCATGCTATTCAAGATCTCTGGTGGTTAGAACAACAGATTAAAAGCATCTCTCTAGGTACTAGGGTTTGTTGCTCACCCTTCTGCAAGTGTCCCGGTCCATAATTTTGTGAAGGCTCGTAGTTCTAGGGGATTTTAGCATGGTTTCTGAGGAGTTCCTGTATTTGCATACTGTCTCTGATGTCATCTCCTCCTCACAGACCTTGGCAGCACAGTGAAACAGAACCTAACACAGAAGGATTTCTAACAAGGAATGAACACAGGTTAATAAGTGGTTAACAGTAATAACAACATTCTAACAGGGGATAATTCTATTGTTATTTCTATGGTTTTCCCCCCCTCCACGCAGCCCCCCGAATGAATCCGACTAGCTCAGAGATATGGGGCTGTGAGGGGAGGAAATAGCATGAGAGGGAAAAGTATTCAAAAGAGGCCCTTACCCAGGGTGTTGGAACAGCTCTCTTTATTCTGTGATGTCCATGGAGAGCGGGGCAAAAGAGAAAGAGCAGGAAGTTTCAGGGGTCTATATAGGTTTTGGACAGGGTGGGCTCTCCTGGCTCCCCGCCAACCCCATTGGGGCAGGAAGGAGGATCCAGGGCTTATCTTGATCAGAGCCACAGAGGCCCTAGGAAAGGGGGGACAAAAGGGTGTCCAGGAGCTCACCATAACATTCTATAACTAGGCTAGCATAACTTTATAACCCTTCTTTTTATAACAGTCCTGACACCTTGCCATGGTTTCCTGGGGACAGCCCTGGTGTCTGCTCACAGGGCCTCTCACCTCTCTCCCTGGGAGAGGCCAATCACATCCAGGCCCTTCAGGCCAGGCTCTGTAGAAGGTTTTGTCCCTTTTGGTTTAAAGGTCAGAATCTGTCCCCTCTGCAGCCCTGCTGGATCGAGGGTGATGGGCAGGGCACAAGGACACTGCACCTGTGTTTAGAGCTGTGGGACTGTCCAGCCTTGCTTGCTCAGTAGAATGGGTCCTGTCTAGGGGGGCTCCAAAGCCAGGAAGGAATTCTCTCTGCCTTTGGTTTTGGCAGCAGCTCTTTCATCTGCACAATGACAAAGCCAGACCTCCATTCTGGGAGCACTCCTGAGGTGACAAGGACACACTCCAAATGACAGCATGTGAGCCCCTGAAGAAAGGAAATCTGCAAATACACAAATGGTGCCCCAGGGGTGCAGCTCGACTTTTCTCCTCCTGCCTCTGCTGAGTTGTCCTCCCCACCTGAATCCCGAAGACGAAGGGCATTGTGCCAGCAAGGCGCAGTCTTGACACTTCACTGCTGTCCAAACAAGGGCCCCTTCCTATTCCTCAAGCTACAGAACTGTGGTTAATAAAGGAAAACATGTCTGAATCAGGGCAGCCAGGCAGCCAGCAGGATCTTGTGGGCCTCTCTGCGTTATTGTGCGACACCTCATGGGAATTGACCAAGTGAGGGACAGCTGCAAGCTCAGCTGGAGGAGAAAATGGGAATTTTTCAAAGATTGGGATGCTGCACTTAAATGTCCCAATTCAAGGCTGCTGCTGATCTCAAACTGGGAGGGGCTGTTGACTCCACTGAGGGATGAGACACCACGCAGAGAGACCCAGATAGATTTGCACCTTTGATTTCCTGTGGGAAAAGGTGCTGCCCATATGGCCCTGGGCCCAAGGCTGTGCCCCACAGGACGTGTGCACCACTCCTAGTGGGGCACAAGCGGAAGGCTGAGGAAGCAGAGCCCAGAGACTGTATGGAGCAAATAACAACTATTTTTATTTTTTTTTTCTTAAATAAGGGATTGAAGGAGCCTTGCTAGTTCTACTGGCGGGGCGATCTCTTGCAGGGGCAGGGAGAATCCTCAGGCTCTGGGGCCTTTCTCTTTAGGGACTGCCCAGGCTGCCCAGGTGAGCAGTGCCCACCTTGGTTGGGACCAGAGGGTCTGGGGCTGGTGCTCTGGACAGAGGGACCTGCCTCGTCCTGGGGCTGGTCCTGCTCTGGGGACACCAGCACAACTGGGGGGTGGCTTTGACTCCTGGTGGGAGTGTCCTCCATTGTGGCAGCTTCCTCTTCTTCCTCTGTGGGGACTTCAGGGCTACTGGCTGGAGTCCATGTCCAAGAGCTGGAGCAGGGGCTGTTGGGGCTGTAGGAGCTGGGGTTGGAGAAGCTGGAGAAGATTGAACTGGAGGAGCTCGAGCTGATGCTGGCTGCTGGGCTGCTATCTGCTGCAACAGCACGGGAGCGCAGCAGCCTCTGGGCCCCTGGGCTGCAGTGTCTCACAATGATGTCGATGGTGCCCTGGACCAGTGGCACTGTGTGTTCCTCCAGGAGGCCCTGCAAACTCTGGATCAGGACCTCCTGGTCTGGCCCATACACACAGAGAGCATAAAGGATGGCAATCTGTGTGCTCCTTGCCACCCACCACTGCTCCCTATGGATGGCCTCCATCCTCTGGTTCAGCCAAGTCCGCACAGGGTCCAGAAGCTCCCGTTGTTGACGGAAAAGTTCTGCCCAGACCTCGGGCAGGACACCGCTGACAGCTCTGGCTGCTGTCTCCTGAGGAGAAGAGGGATGGGCCGGCACAGAGCCATGGGGTCTGTTCTCATCCTGGCCGCCGGGAGCTCTCGCTGCCTGGCTCATGGCCCCTGGCAGCTGCTCGGGGACTGTGATGACAATCTCTAGATAGTCACCGGCATCATCAGAAAACCTGACAGTTTCTATTGCTTCTCTGCACAGCGGGCAGGATGGATTTGTGTGTATCCACTGCAGGATGCAGCCCCGGCAGAAATGGTGGCCACAAGGCTGAGTAGAAGCCACATCATGCAAGGTGTCCTGGCAGATGGCACAGTTGCCATCTGTCTCTGTGGCCATAATTGGCCCCTGCAGCAGATTGAGGAGGGCTGAGGATCAGGAGCTGCTCTCCGTTGCCGGTGTCACACCCTGCAGGAGAGGGGAGGAAGGAGAAGGAAACCCTCCCACCTCCCTAAAGCCCTGTCACCTGCCTGTCCGACCGCAGGACGGTTCCTGTCAGTGCTGCAAGTACGCTCTGCCCCAGACTGTCACCGGCTCTGCCCACGTCTGTATTTAAGCAGTGAGGGGGGACATGTCACAATCCTGTGCTCAGTGATGTCACAATCTGCTTTTCGCGGATGTCATCCTTCAGGCGATGTCCCCACCAGTGCATGTTGTCAGGAGAAAGAAGAAAATATTTTTTCTTGTTTTTAACTTCTGCGTTTCCATGTTGCTCTGCCTTGGCCACCTGCAGCATGTGTCCATGGCCCTGTGTCTCATCCCCACTGCTGACACCTTGCCAAGGTTTTCTGTGAGGAGTGCAGTGGTGGGACCAGACAGCATGGACTGCCTGTGGTTGGATGATGCCTCCTCCTGTCACTGCCTTTCCCTGGGCACAATCTGGGTGCTGGTGGCCAGCCCTGGGTAAGAATCTCCCACCTCTGTGGGTTGTGTCTCTGCTTCAGGGAGAAACAGAAAGGAATGTTTTGCTCCAGCCCCATGCACTCCCACTGGCACTTGCCCATAGTGCCAGGTCTCTCTCCATTTCCCAGGTGTCTGTGTTTCTGGAATCCAGTGTCTTTGTGCTCCTCCCCACAGCCTCAGGAAGAAGCTGGAGCTGCTAACCCAGCAGAGGGGGATACAAGGGCCAGAGGAACCCTGTCATTACTCTGGAGAGCCCAGGACCCATCACCACATGGGCCATGCTGTGCCATCATCCCCTCTTGCCTCTGGCTGATGAGAGTCATCAACCCAAGCAGTTCTTTCTTCACTTGGAACTAATTTCTTTCTCCTGGTTTGAGGCTTGGGATGCTGTGTGCAACCACTACGTGGCTCTGCCTCGGGGTGCAGAGATCTCTCTTCAAACCGGTGCAAATGGAGGATTGTCCATTGCCATACTTTGGTGCTAAACAATCCACATGGAAAAAGATGGAAGTTGGTTCATCAGGGCTTCTTTGTGTTGTTATGGGTGTCATGGTTTGACACGGAAAAAGAATTTTTCCGGAAGGAAGAGGTCAATTTGGACATTGGCCAATTGAAGGTAGACACGCCTCTGAGAACACAGAGGGGTTAAAAGCAGAATTCCCAGGAGAACTCGCTCTCTTTGGTTCCGGTCAGTGTGCAGTGCAGGACTCTCCCCTGCCTGGCGACGGGCTGGGTGGGGGAGGGGAGAAGCCATGTGGCCTTTGGAGGTAGGCCCAAGGGTGGAGGGACTGGAACCGGGCTGGCCCCCTGCAGATGGAAGGGTGGAGAAATCTGGGATGTCTTCATTCCCCCCAGAGTCTCTCTCTCTCCCAAGAGAGAGAAAGATACAGCAGTGGTTTTGCCAGCAGTTCACCACAGAGAAGGAGAAGAGCGGGGTGGGGGGGGGGGCGCGGGGGGGCCGCAAGGTGTCCAGCCGGGCTGTGGGAGCTGGAGCCTGGGCAGCGAGCCATCCCTGGGAGTCGGGACTTTTAACTCTTCCTTGAGAAAATGAAAGCTTTGTGAAATTTTTCTCCTCCTCGGTTTGAAAGAGAGGAAGAGAGACAGCCTGGGACCTGGGATGTTGGAAGGAGAAATTCTAGGTGGGAGGAGATGATGGAGTGACTTTTGGCTGGACTTTTTCTTGGTAGCCACAGACTGAACTGATCTTCTCTTCCAAGAGAGACTGTATTTTAGGAAGATGCCGGTGAGCCAAAGAGACCTGCTTCAGCTGGGAAAAGACAGAAGTGGAGCGAACAGAGAAAAGTTAAGGAGGTTTGTGGTGGTGCCCCCTGTCTTCGCAGAGGAAGAAGAGAAGAAGATCTCTGTTCTTGGATCCTCAGCCCCAAGGAAGA